CCAATTAAAAATTCGCAACGGGTTTAGTCAGCTTAGTTTCAACAGTTCAATCCAGTGCACTTCCAACTTACATTTAACAACTTGCAATAATATAAACCTAAAGTCGAACAACCTTTTATCAAACCCCATCGCAAAACAGGTATAGTATATAGCTCAAATAGACAATATAAGATTATCATTGAATCACTGAATAGAGTAATTGAGTCAAATATTTCCTTCAAATCCTCAAACTATCTCTGTGTGTATATGCATATGAAAATGCTCCATAGTTTTCAATTAAATTTATTTCATACAACAACAGTACTGTAGGTTTTCATTAATCTAAAACAGCCTGTTGCAACTTGAAAATCAAAAGACTAGAAGTTTTTATTGTATCCGCAGTTCCAGATGTGAAATAGATTTCAAGACATCTTATTCTAGGGTTTTCTATAGACAGAAGTATAGAGACTGTAATTCACGAATTAAATTGAAAAAATACCGACCTGAAGGAGACAACAGGCCCAACCTCCCTGCAGATCTCGATCAGCTGTTCCTCAGTAGCATCATAAGGTATATTCCCAACTGCGGCGAAAAAGAGTAGAACAAAACAAACATCATAAACACGACAATCAAAACTATAAAAATAATTTTATCGAATTTCCAAAAAACCGCTTAAATTTTTCAAATTCTGAATGCTGGGAGAAATTATGAATCCAATACAGCCATGCGAGATTTTCAAGACACGTGTTTCTCTTCTTCTCCACGATTTCTTAGAAACCAAAAAGAGAAAACTTGCGAATTTACATATAAATCTGATATATGTATTTGAAACGATAGAGAGAGAGAATGAGACCAAAAACGCAGCGGTGTTGAGAAGAGGATGCCATGAATCAATAGAAGAAGAAGGTGAAGCAATGCTCCATCTTCTTCCTCCTCCACATCGCTATCCTGTTTTTCACCTTCTCCTTCTTGTTGTTGTTGTTGTTTGACTGATACGGCTCCCTCTTTCCGCGAAGTAGGTATATATATATAAATGTATAGGCTTTAGCAGGCAGTATAGGTGTATGAAGAGAGAGGTTTTGGCAGAAATTTCTCCTGCGTAAATGACTGGATATTATTTGCTTTCCAGACTACAGAGTCTTCACCGTCGTTCTCCCTCTCTCACAAAACCCAGGCAGCAACAGAGTGATAGAAATTTGGAAGATCCACTTCAATCCAATTCTCCGTTACAAATCTCCCACTTTTTCCCGTCTCACCGTCGGGCTTTCGGTTCCGGTGAAGATTTCGTTTCGAATAATCGACTTTTATAGAAATTTTAGGTTATATATGGATTATGATTATTATCGATATACTTCCAAATAATCATAATCATGAGAATCAACAGAATTAATGATTCGATCATCCCAAAAATCTATAGATTAATAACTTTAATGTTTACTTTCATGGTCGTTTCAGGTTTTTCGATTTCTTTCTGTTTTTAAAATTTTAATATATAATTAAAAAATGATTATTTAATAAAAATTACACACACACAAAAATGCATTTTTATATAATCTAAAAGTCATAATAATTAAATATTAATATTTTATAAACTTAATAAAAATAATTACTTAATTCATGCATGCATGATAATTAATAACATTAAGAAGAAAATATTGACAGTTAATAATTCTTGTTGTTGTAATTTTTAAAACAAAAAATTCAAACCCAAATTAGCAATAAAATATTTAACGTAAAGGGTTAAATTAATAATTTATCCTTTTCAATTTTACAGAAAATTATAATAATAATAATAAGTATTTCATCAGTTATATACCACACACAATATAACTGTAATAATATATATATATACACATACATTGCTCAGTTATGAACAATAAGATATTCATATAACAACAGGAGCCTACTCAAGGTGGAAACTTCATCCTTTGCAGTTTACATTTCCATCCCTCCTAAGTAAACTAAATGTAAAATCTTCAAAATTTCTCAACCTATTTCATCAAATTAAGACCAGATCACTCAGTTAAAGATTCCCAGGAAACAGTAATCCCAGAACTTCCCATCTATCATGAGAAGATGGATCTTCCCGAGACTCTTACTGTTCCGATAAACATCCAGAAAATGGCACAGAACGCTCCTAAAATTGATAATAAAAACAAACCCCTACTTCTGCCTGTGCTCCTTACAGTTGCAGCATCGTTACCCGCGGCAACATTCGCGTTCCTATTATTTAATCTGACCCGACTAAAGCTAGACATTCTCTCAAAGGCTCGATTGACCAGAGGACTCTCCGCAGCAGACGCAGGAGTTGTAGGTATTGATTCCACAAACGCCCATAGTGCTGAAGAAAACTTACTGGTTGCACCTCGTCCCTCCTTATCATCTTCTCCTTTACTTACTTCAGCAGGCGAACCTTTGGAATCATAAGACAAACCTAAGCATGACGAAAATTACCATTATCAGCCAAAAGAAAAACTAAAAAAATAGACATTTTGAAATCTTCAAACTGGGGACGCATGAAGTAACAGAGAATTTGGGGAATGCCAACATTCCAATTGTTTGAAGTAAGAAGATAACAAAAAGTACTTGTACATGAAAGAGCTCTTGAAGGTAGCTTAATTTCCCTTCACCAGAAAGCCTTTTGGCCACTTGGACAATGCATGTCAACCAAACCATCCATCCGATCAAGAGTTCCATGTGGATGGACTGAGAGGACAGCAACTTTGTCCAAAACAGAAAAATAACTTTGGTAAAGTTCAATTAAGTAGATGAGCAAATGCATCAGCTTTGAAGCCTGCATCAATTTATGTACCTGAAGCCGGAAGAGAGAAAGTTCCATGACCTGATTCTGCTTGGGTAAAGATTCTAGTATTCTGTTCATCGATCCACAAATCACCAAACAAATTCGGCTGCATCTGATAATCAAGCTGGTCTACTGCAAACTGAGGTTGAAACTGGAAATCAACCTGGTTTGTTACCGGATGAGATTGCACCTGGTGATCAACCTGGTTTCCTACTGAATGCGCCTGAAAGTGGTAATCAACCTGGTCCACTGCATGCCACTGCCCCTGGTGACCAAGTGGGTTTATTACTGATTGGGATTGAAATTCGCAATCAACCTGCTGACCAAGCTGGCTAGCCAAATTGTTATCCGAGTTATTAATATATGAGTGTGAAATTGTTTCCTGATCAATAGGGGCCATGTCTTGAAGAAACATGGCAGCATCATGGTAGAGGTCGAGCTCACTTAGGCCATCCAGAAAGTTATCCATAGAAGGTTGTTCAGCACTCGAGAAGGTAGGTTCAGGACCCAGAAGATCATCAATTTCCAAGAAATCCTCCTCCTCACATATCTGAGGTGCTGGTTTGCAAGTTTTGGTAGCTGATGTGACCTCGGGCACCTCATTCGACTGCAACTTTGAGGTTGCTGACTGGGTGAAGTCAAAGTTGACATGCATATCATATTGCTGACTACTAGGGGCAAAAGTATTAACTGGCTCTGGGAGGATTACCCCCCTTGATGATGGATGCACCAAAGTACTTTGTGCGTCTTCTTCATCAATCTATAAGAATTAAACCATATACATCAGTCAAGAACTATTCCCCAAGTGATATATATATATATGTGTGTGTGTGTGTGTATCTATATACATAAGACGAGAAATGCAATACCACAATATTCTAGATAGTTGGAAAATCCCTTAAATGGCCATTCCTTCTCAGTCAATTAAAGGATCTACTTTCATTATTCTTTTCAAAACAGATACACGTGACCTAAGCCACCCTATTTTTGGCACCATTTTCCAGCGATTAACCATCCAACATTACAGACAACTATTTGAACTTTTTTACTTTTCTTCTTCCAATTACTAGAACAACAGAAAGGAAAGAAAACCAACCTGGGGTAGTGCATAAGAATAATTGAAGATTTGGGGCTGAGAGAATGCAGGTCCATCTGCCATTCGCCTCATGAACTCCTCAATATCATCTTCTGCTGAAGAATTGACATGACTGTTAACTCCTATACTATCAACTGGAGCAATTTCTTTAGCTTGCTTTGTTAGAGCCTTTGATTCAGCAGGGATACTTTCATGTACACATTCATCTTCGGCCCAGTCCTCTTTCTTTAAATGGTGCTCCATACTGTTCACCATTTTTAGGACCAGGTCCACTTTTCTTGTAAACCTTATAAAGAGCATAATAATCCTGCAAGAAGCTGATAGATAAGGAACAAAGATACAGGGGGAAAAAACAATAAAAAAGTAATCAACTACTGAGCTGCATACCTTTACGTTCTGGCATCTCTTCAGCTCCTCTTCATCCATCGTATATTCATGCATCACCCAGTCAGTTCTTGCCCCATTAGGTGCTCGGCCTCTATAAAAAACGAGTGTCTTTTTTACTCCAGCTGACCTGGAATTACACATTACATTGCGATCCTTTCCTGTTGCTTTCCAGTACCCGTTTCTGGTTGCACGGTTTGACCTTCCACCATTAGGGTACTTCCTATCCCTTGGACTGAAAAAGAACCACTGACGATCTCCAGTCTTCAATATAGATTGACCTGCACATAATTTTTGTTGGCAAGCTAATTTTACAATCAAACACGACATGTAGATGGTAAACACTAAAATACATTAAAAACCAGAATATCTTTTACTGCCAAAACTTAAAAACAAATATTCTTTCTGAACAAGAAGGAAATCCAAACAGCATCCAAGATGGGAACAAAAAGAAAACATAGGATGGACAAGCCAAGGGTTGGTAAGTATCAATAAGATTACTGAAATCCTTGCAAATGGAAAAAGGATGACTCTTAATCAAAAACCTAGGGACTAGAACCATAAATCTTTGGCAAAGGTAGACTCTATGCCCTCAATTTTTATTTTTATTTTGGTTTCTTTTCCACCAGTCTTTACTTCATCTAGAAACCTGACACTTTAAGCCACTTGTTTCCAAATTTGAGTGGACATAGTCCCCAACTAAGTCCACTAGGATCCATACATATAGGGCAATGATCCAAAATAGCAAATTGCAGGATTTTTTGCATCAAGTCCAGCACATGAAGGAAGCAGACAAAATGAAGCAATCTATTCTAGACAAAATGAGCCAATCCCTAGGGATGGCCAAGTCCATCTATGCCTTGTTATAGGTAGATCCAGTCAATTGAATCTATGCATAATCCCACGGAACTCTTCCACAAGCAACGAGAGCAATTCTCCCCAGAGGGATCATACCCATTACTACTCTTGGGTTCCTCTATGTCTTCCCACAGCTTCTCCCTCTTCCTCCCCCCTCTCCTCTACCATAGACACCATTAATCACTCAATACCACCAATTTGCTCTACATATTTACTGCACATCTCTTGGCTCTCCCTTTCATAACTGTCTTCAAGTTCCATTATGCACTCATTCTATAAGACCATGATACCTCCTGCACCGCCATTAACGAGAAAGTCCCTCCAACCTACCTCCCACATTCCAGATACTATAGGCCAACTAGTTCAAGAACATCTCCTACTTTCTTGGAAACAAATAACATCCAGTTTCCGTCTAGACAAGCAACGTATACTACCACCTGTTGATTTGGATAATATCATTCTCCCCATGTTCCAAGAAATGATTTTGTTGAGATGATTTTGTTGAGATGATTTTGTGTAACATAGTAAAATTGTTGCCAACGCGCCCCTGATTAGCCCTTGTTCTCTACTATTCTTATCATAATTGACAGAGGTATTTCCTCAGTTTTCATTTCTTATTCACCCTATATTTGCTCTTTGCTACAGACTTCAGCATTTTGATTTTACTTTTCTTCCC